ATTATTTAAGTTATATATACTTATAGAACTATAAATTATATTGTTATATAACTATATACTATAGTCATATAATTTTTTAAAAATTTAATATTTAACTTAATCTCTTTTCTTTTTTTGCTCTACTTTTATTGACAAATGAAAATAATTAGCATTGTTCTTTATGCCTCCCTTTTATCTTCCTGACTGAACAGATCTGTTAACTTCAATTTCTTTTTCTTGAAGATTGGGAATATAAGACAGACACTGTTATTCTTTTTAACTTTTTTAAAAAAATATTTATTTTTTTGGGACGCCAGAGTGGCTCAATGGGTTAAACAGCTGCCTTCGGCTCAGGTCATGATCCCAATGTCCTGTCACGTCCCCCATCAGGCTCCCTGCTCAGTGGGGAGCCTGCTTCTTTCTCTCCCTCTGTCATTCCCCTGCTTGTGCTCTCTCTCTCTGTGATAAAATCTTTTAAAAAAAATAATAAATAAATATTTATTTTTTAGAGAGAGATAGCACATGCACCAAGAGCACCTATATGTGCCCATGTGAGTGGGGGAGGGGCAGACTCACAGAGACTCAAGTGGACTCCCAGCTGAGCTCGGAGCAGAAGCTGGATGCAAGTCTCCATTTCAGGACCCAGGAGGTCACGACCTGAGCTGAAACCAAGAGTCCAACACTTAACCAAATGAGCCACCCAGGCACCCCTCACTGTTATCCTTTGAATTATATCCAGTTTGCCTTCAGATAATTGATACTCATGCCTTCCTAAAATGTAATAATCTGATTAGTTATGCAATAAGCACGTGAACCCCAAAACCTATAAAAAAAAAGATCATGCTACAGCCTAGAATTTTATTAGATGATGCTTTTCCAGTTTTCTTGTATAGTCTGGAGTTGGCTTCTTCCTTCTTGTATAAATTAGCTTTTACTTTTCTTTGATGACATGACAGCTCCTTTTTCCCCTCCCCCCAAATTAAAATTAATTATACTCTTTCAAAGAGTTTTCTATTACCTTTCATTTTTGACTGACATCCTACTTAACTGTAGTCTTCAAGAAATCAATGAATATATTAATTGGAATTAGACTTGGCACCTGTCTCTAAGGAACTCAATAGTTCTCTGTAGCCTTAGATGGAATTTTTAATAACTTCAAGGTATTTTTTAAAAAGCCAACTGTGTATCTTTAAGTTATTCCTTCAAACCCGTTTTTTTTGAGTTTCCAGATAGAGAAACAAGGGTATAATAAAATGACCAAAATTAAAAGCATTAAAACATTTATAAAAACCTAACAAGTTAATGATTATAATAAAAAGATATTAAACAACTAGCTTAGGTAATATAAACACAAAAGAACAGTGCATTTCTTTTCAGTCGTTAAGACTCAATTTGAGGGGCAAAAGAAGTAGGAAAAGATGGTGCTAAAGCAGGTAGACCGTAGATATTCAAGAAATTTGGTCTTTTTCTGTTCCTAAAATTCAGAGCATTTCCTTTTTCTTTATAGTTCCAAATGAGTCAGGCAAAAAAATCTCGTATTAGACTAAAACTAATAATAATCAGATAAAGAACAAATGATAGTTCTGAAAGACTGAGTTTGAATTTTCACTCTTATCCTTTGATAGCTCTATGACTTTTATCTTTTTGAGTTTCCGTTTCCACATCTGAAACACAGGTATAACACCACTAAACATAACAGGGTTGGCAAGATTTAAAATAAAGGCATGTAATATTTGTAAGGTGCCTGGCTCATAGTAGGCCCTCAAAAATGTTTATTTTTCCCCTTTTTTTCCCCGTCTTTTCCCCTCTTCCCTGACCCTGCTGGAAATTAATTGACAGATAAGTAGTATTCTCTTCACTGTCAAAGTTACTGTAGTGAGAAAAAGATAGAAATAACTAAATGGAGGGGCATTTGGGTGGCCAGGTCCACTGAGCATCCAACTCTTGAGTTTCGGCTTGTGGCATCCGGCCCTGTGTTAGGCTCTGCGCTCAGGATGGAGTCTCCTTCAGACTCTCCCTCTCTCTCCCTCTGCTGCTGCAACCCCAAATATAAGTAAATAAATCTTAAAAAAAAAAAACCAAACCAAAAACACCCTAAATGGAATAGTAACTTTCCTGGATCTGAAATTTTAAAGTAAATAAGTTATGAAATAAAACTAGTAAGAGGTAAACGGGTTGCCTGGATGACTCAATTGTTAAGCAGCTGCCTTCGGCTCGGGTCATGATCCCAGGGTCCTGGGATCAAGCCCACGTTAGGCTCTCTGCTTGGCGGGAGCCTGCTCCTCCCTCTCCCATTCCCCCTGCTTGTGTTCCCTCTCTCGCTGTCTCTGGCAAATAAATAATAAATAAATAAATAAAATCTTTAAAAAAATTAGTAAGAGGTAAATAGAATGATGGAATTACAAAAACCTATAAGAAAGTTAAGATATTATTAATCATTTCCATTTTCCTCTTGGCTAAGATTATGAGATTATGTTTCCTATTCAGTGAAGGGAGAAACTAACCAAGCTTTGAAAAGTGGTATCACAAGTGTTTCATAAAAACAAAAATTTGCTTCCATTTTACAGAAGTTTTATCGATAAAAGTATTTCAAGAAAGGGCCTTTCATTCATTTGAGATGACCCATTTACGTGCATCATATATGCCAACTGCCATACTAAGTGACAAAGGATATACAGAGAAGATAAAAAGAATACTATTAAAAGTATAGGACAGGTCATGTGGCATCAGGCATATCACTGTATTAGTCTGCTAGGGCTGCCATAACAAAATACCTAGAGCTCAGTGACAACAGAAATTTATTTTTTCACAGTTCTGGAGGCTGCAGGTCTAAGATCAAGGCATAGGCAGAGCAGGTTTCCTCTGTGGCTTCTCTCCTGCCGTGCAGTTGGCTACCCTCTTGCTATGTCTTCACATGGCTGTCCCTTTGTGCACGGCACCACTGGTCTCTGTGTCCCTAAATTTCCTTTTCTTACAAAGACATCCGTAGAACTGGGTTAGGGCCCACTCTAAAGGCCTCATTTTAACTCACCTCTTTAAGGACTTTATTTCCAAATATGGTCAGATACTGCGGTACTGGGGTTAAGGGCTTCAAAATAAAAATTCTGGGGGAACAGAATCCAGTGCGTAAGAAACATGATCTCACTTAACCACTGCCCTGTTTTACAAATGTGGAGCTAGGCTCTAAGAGAGTAAATAACTCAACAAATGTCACATAGCAAGTAAGTGGTGGAAACAAAATTTTAACTCCGGTCTCATTATGAGAGCACCAAAGGTATGTTTTTTCTTTTAGTCACACATCCTCAGAGAATTACAAATCTGATTGGAAAGACAAAGCACCGATTCACGAAACTATAAAATATGGGGGTTAGTGATAAAGAGGCATTTATTCACTGGACTTGTACCATCACATGGAAAGAATGGATTCAGGACTAATAGACATTTATAGAATATTTATTACATGTTAGGCTGGGCTCTTTCACAAGAGTCTACTGATGCCCTTTCATGAGGAATTGCTGAATGGCAAGGAATAGTTTTTGGTAGTCTTGGACCAAAGCCAATGTCAAAATACAAGAGAGCTTTCTGTAGTAAGTTATCTTACACACAATTGTCTTTCAGATCTTTTTTTTCCTGCACTTGAGTGTAGGCTCTGTGCTGGTCCACATGTATGAAACCCCTAATCTGCTTTATAATATTCTACCTCACTGACAATCTACCTCATTGACAATCTTACGGGGCTTCCAACTCTACAACATCTCAAAGTGAAAGACAGAAAAGTCCTCTGCTGTGTCTCTTAAGAGTCCCACCTGTGTGTCCATGAATGAGTGTCAGGCTAGACTGTAAATATGTGTGTGTGTGTGTACACACACATATGCATATACATACACACACATGCATTAACCATTTATTATAGGGGCCAAGAACTGCCCTCAAGAAGTCTGATAATTTGTTGTTTTGTTTTGTTTTGTTTTTGAGGTAAGTTCTTTGGATATCAATTATACCATTTTCAGAAAACAAGTACAAAAGCACATTTCAAAGTTTGATTTGATTTTTAGTATTATCCATACTTCGTTCCTAGAGTAGGAACATTCAGTGGTATTCTTACCAATAATGAGAATTCAGTTGTGATTTTTCAAACTGTCTCAATGGAGTTAAGTGGGTGGAAGAGGTGGGAGTACCTTATCAGAATCTTGGAGAAAAATGGAAAAGCAGATAAAGAATATACATAATTTAAAAAACAAAGCAGTGCTTTTCTCCAGTACTTTAATGTTTTCAAATTTCAAATAATATTAAAAATGTTTAAAAAAAAGAAGTTGAGAAACACCAAGGTGTGGGAATTTTTAAAACTCTGAAGATCAGATTTCATTTTTTCCGGGAAAAAAAGTGCCTTAGGAGGCATTTAGTGAATGTTCTGAATATAATAGACTTAGTAGCCAATTAACCCAAAATACACTTAATTCACTAAATATACACATAGAGAAAGGCAATACTCTCACAGAGTTGTGTCTAGGAAGTCAACAGCATGATGGTTTGAATTGTAGGTGGAAAAGTAAATCTCCAAACACAGTATGACATTTCTGCAACTCTGAGCACGGATATTTTTATTCTGCCATTTTTGTGTTTCCAGTTGTTTTTAGCTTTGTAAGCTTTCAAGGAAAGATCTACTTATTATCCCCCCACAACTCTACCTCCTGGTGCCTTCTATGAAATAAACGTAAAACTGGGGATACATGCTCAAGTTGAGAACTACTCTTACCCCTGAATTTCTTTTTTCTCAAGCTGAGTATCCAAAGACAACTAAGATTTTCAATTTAGGCTTTTTTGGTTTTCAGTCCCAGAACCACCTACCTCCAAACATCTTCACAGAATATAGTATTTCCTATCTGCTGTCAGGTTTGAACCAATCAGTTCTCACAGCTGGAGATAGATTGAACGAATGTCTATAGTGCATGCCCTCCCCATCCAGGGGCTCTATGTGCTTCCATGATGCCCTATTCCCCTGAAGTCCAAGGAATACCTACCTCTAGTTTCAGAACATCGTGCTGAAGTTTACGCTGAAATTCAAGGAAGTTTTTGATCGTCAGCTTCCCCTTAAGATCAGCTCCAAAGAAGTAGGTCGTAAGGGCTGAACACAAGCCAGACTTGAGGGTGTTACCAGTAGTAGGACGATCTCTGTGACGCATACCCATACTGGTTTGGGAGCGGATGATGCTCTGAACCTGGAGAAGAAGCAAAGCCCCATTCAGAAAAACATTACAAAGTACAAAAGTATAAAAAAGTAAGAACAATAACTGACTACTGATTATTTATTATTTGCCTACACGGTGCTATGATTCTCTTTTAATGCGCACAATCCTATTAAGTTTTACGATGGTCCTCATTTTACAGATGAGGAATTTGAGGCAGAGTGTTTAATAACTTGTTCAAGGTCAAGTAGCTAGCAAGTAGCAGAACCAGGATTTTAACAGAGACACCTGACACCGTTGTAACTGAGATGCTCTTAAAAATCTCTCTTCAGAGAAGAGCATGCATTTGTGTTTGAGGTTCAAAACCTCTCACAAAACACTAAAATAATCATCAACCTCTCAGTAATACATTCCGTAACTCAGGAGACTTTTCATACTTCTAACTACTGACTCTCTAGTTATGACAAGAGGTAGCATAGCTATAGGCAAATACTGACATCTAAGAGAGATAACACATTTATTAGAATGACAAATTTTTAAAATAGATTTTATTTATTTGAGAGAGAGAGAGAAAGAGCATGAGAGGGAGGAGGGGCAAAGGGAGAAGCAGACTCCCGCTGAGCCAGGAGCCTGAACACGGGGCTCGATCCAGGGATTCTGGGATCCTGACCTGAGCCAAAGGTAGATGTTCAACGGACTGAGACACCCAGGTGACCCTAGAATAATAAATTAAATACAAAGTTGGTATGAAATAATTTCCCAAGAAAAGTTGGGAAATTAATTTAGTCCTTGAGAAGTTTTATTTTTATTATTATTTTTTAAAAAAGATTTATTTATTTGAAGGGTGCCTGGGTGACTCAGTCAGTTGAGGTTGAGTGTCTGCGTTTGGCTCAGGTCATGATCCTGGTGTCCTGGGACTGATTCCTGCGTCAGGCTCCCTGCTCAGTGGGGAACCTGCTTCTCTTTCTTCCTCTAGTGCTCATTCTCTCTCATGAGCCATTAGTGCTCATTCTCTCTCTCTCTCAAAAATAAATTTTAAAAATCTTTAATTAAAAAAAAGTTTACAGAAGATTTATTTATTTGAGAGAGAGAGAGGGAGAAAGAGCATGCGTACAAGTCAGGGGAGAAGCAGAAGGAGAGAATCTCAAGCAGACTCCTTCATGAGTGGGGAGCCCCACAATGGGCTTGATCTCAGGACCGATGAGATCATGATTTCAATCAAAATAAAGAATCAGACTCAACCGATTGAGCCACCCAGGCACTGCCTTTGAGAACTATTTATTTATTTATTTATTTGACAGTGAAAGAGAGAGAGATCACAAGTAGGCAGAGAGAGAGGAGGAAGCAGGCTCACCGCTGAGCAGAGAGCCTGATGGGGGGCTCAATCCCAGGACCCTGACATCATGACCTGAGTTGAAGGCAGAGGCTTAACCCACTGAGCCACCCAGGGGCCCCTTCTGAGAACTTTTAAATGAACTTTTTGAGAAAGGATAAGTTTTGGAACTAGCAACTATGGCCTAACTATACAAATGAGCTTTTGAAGCAAGTCTATGACTATTGTAGCATTTTCTTTTTTACTAGTTCCTGCAATCTTTTCTACCTCTTTAGAAGCTAAAAAAGCAACTACTCAGAATAATTAAAATTGGGTTATGTAAAGATAAATAATGAAGGTCTGTTATATAAATAAACAATACAGAAAGCTTTGTAGGTAATGATTTTTTTTTAAAGATTTTATTTATTTATTTGACAGAGAGAGGTCACAAGTAGGCAGAGAGGCAGGCAGAGAGAGAGGGGCAAGCAGGCTCACCGCTGAGCAGAGAGCCCAATGTGGGGCTTGATCCCAGGACCCTGGAATCATGACCCAAGCCGAAGGCAGAGGCTTTAACCCACTGAGCCACCCAGGCGCCCCTGTAGGTAATGATTTTTAAAGATTTTATTTATTTATTTATTTGTCAGAGAGAGAGAGAGAGAGCACAGGCAGACAGAATGGCAGGCAGAGGCAGAGGGAGAAGCAGGCTCCCCGCCAAGCAAGGAGCCCGATGCGGGACTCGATCCCAGGACGCTGGGATCATGACCTGAGCCGAAGGCAGCTGCTCAACCAACTGAGCCACCCAGGCGTCCCAGGTAATGATTTTTAAATTGCCAAATTGGAAAAGCATAACACTTAGAAATTTAAGAGCTATAGCAACAGATTTACCTTAGTTAAATGTATCATGTATTTCATTTTTTTACCTGTGACCATAAAGAAGATTTAAGTTAAGTCTATGGCTGTATAAACAGTGGAGTAGTATAATGGAAAGACATGAGACAAGGGGTCAGGAGACATGAGGTCTGACTATTGTTCTGAGAAAGAATTTATGAGAGCAGAATTTATGCAGGTCAGTGAAACTCTATGGGCCTTACTTGTCTCACTAGAAAAGTCAGAGTATATTATCTTTAAATCTCCTTGTAACTCTAGGTTACATGACATGATTTCTTCGGGGTCCACATTTTATTGTGGTAATAAGATAAGCTGAATTTGTTTCTTATGTACACAGAGATTTGAAAGACAGATACTCAATGGATTTTTTTAATTCTTTAGGTTGAGAATTTTTAGACTTTAAACTGAATACAGGGGACACCTGGGTGGCACAGTTGGTTAAGTATCTACCTTCCCCTCAGGTCATGATCCCAGGGTCCTGGGATTGAGTCCCACACTGGGCTCCTTGCTCAGCGGGGAGCCTGCTTCTCCCTCTGCCTGCCACTCCCCGTTTGTGTATGCTTGCTCTCCCTCTCTCTCTCTGAAAAATAAATAAATAAAAATCCTTAAAAAAAAAAAAGGACTTTAATAATTAAATTGAATACAGGATAATCAGAACATTTTTTGTTGTTGTTTTGAACACAATACACAATTCATTTTATCTGCTTAACTGTGAGTACTGAAGAATTTTCACTAACAGTGAACCAGTACTGAGAACCTACCATGATTTATATTTTGCCTGTGGCTGTAAATATTGCAGCTTATATCCTTCCTATGGTGGACACCGTGTGTTAAGCCTCAAGTGTGTGGTGCTGGGAATGTGTGTGGGTAAGTGACTGGGAAAAAGAGTTTAGGGAAAATTAACTACTCATGCAGTATGGTCTTCATTAGTGATTAATAATCACATAGTCTCAATACTACTGCATTATATAGAAACTACTATTTACAATAAGCATTCTTTAAAAACTTTGAAAAATATCTTTTTTTTTTAAGATTTTATTTATTTATTTGACAGAGAGAGAGAGAGCAAGAGAGGGGACACAAGCAGGGGGGAGTTGGAGAGGGAGAAGCAGGCTTCCCACTGAGCAGGGAGCCCGATGTGGGGCTTGATCCCAGGACAGTGGGATTATGATCTGAGCTGAAGGCAGATGCTTAATAACTGAGCCACACAGGTGCCCCTCTTTTTTTTTTTTTTTTAAGATTTTATTTATTATTTGAGAGAAAGATAGCATGCATGAGCACAAGTGGGGAGGAAGCAGAGGGTGATAAAGAAGCAGGGAGCCTGACAAAGGACTCAATTCTGAGACCTGGGATCATGACCTGAGCCAAAGGCAGACACTTAACCAATGAATCACCCAGGATCCCCAATATTTTCTTAAAATATTTTATGTAGATAATTTGTTAAGGGTATAACATGAGAATCGATCAAAACATCAATTCAACTAGTCATGTGAATGCTTACTACATGCTTTATGCTGTGGAGAAAATCAAAAGAAATATAAAACATGATTTCTGAAATAAAATTTCATTCTTCTATCTCAAAAATGAGTTATTATTTCTCATACTTTCATACTAAAAAAAATTTCTGTCATGGCACTGGGTGAAAGGAGCCCAAACAGTTATGAGGGTTGGTTTTTTTTAAATTATCTTTTACTACGATCTTTTGCTTTGATCTGCTATGAAATGGGTTAGAGAAAGGATCTGTGTGATAGAAAGGTCAGAGAAAACTCACAGAGTATTAACAGTAGATTAATGCCTTTTAGTAATGTGTTTATGTACGATCAAAGTGATTTTAGAAAAAGATGAATCAAGGAATTAGCTTTTAGTTTGCTTCATGCAACATTAACTTTGAAATATGTGAGGTCCTCTCCCTGCTTCTGTTTAACTTTTTTTTATAAGCTTGATGAATACACTGTCAAGAAAACACCTGTTTACCTGGGAAGTAAGTACAAAGTTTGAATGTTTGGAAGCCTAGAGCACTGTCAACTTAATAAATTCTTATATTTCCCAAGAATGTAAAATGTATAAAGATGAAGCAGAGAAACTTCTAAAGAGAGCCATTTGTTCATTAGCTACCTTATAATTATTTTTTTGTTTTTGGTCTAAAAGGCTTTTTATATTAAGATTCCTTGTGGTCGGGGCGCCTGGGTGGCTCAGTGGGTTAAGCCGCTGCCTTCGGCTCAGGTCATGATCTCAGGGTCCTGGGATCGAGTCCCACATCGGGCTCTCTGCTCAGCAGGGAACCTGCTTCCCTTCCTCTCTCTCTGCCTGCCTCTCTGCCTACTTGTGATCTCTCTCTGTCAAATAAATAAATAAAATCTTTAAAAAAAAAATTCCTTGTAGTCAATATTAGACATTGTATCAGTTTAAGGTGCCCAATTATCAAGGGATCACATTAGATGAAATAGCACTCCCTTCTTTAACATCTGAATAGACATTTTTCCAAAGAAGACATAGAGATGGTCAACAGGTACGTGAAAAGTGCTCAATGTCCCTCAACATCAGGAAAATGAAAATCAAAATTACAACAAAATAACACCTCACACCTGGTAGAATGGTTATTATCAAAAGGACAAAAAATAACAAATGTTGGATAGGATGTGGAGAAAAGGGAACACCTGTGCACTATTGCTGGCAATGTAAATTGATGTGGCCACTATGGAAAACAGTATGGAGGTTCCCCTGAAAATTAAAAATAGAAGTACCATATGATCCAGCAATTTCATTTCTGGGTATTTATAAGAAGGTAACAAAATCACTATTGCAAAGAGATACCTGCACCCATCCATGTTCATTGCAATATTATTTACAATAGCCAAGATATGGGAACATCAGTATCCACCAATGGACAGATGGATGAAAATATATGTATGGATGTATGTGTATATATATGATGGAATATTATTCAGCCATAAAAAAGAAGACAATTCTGCCATTTGTGAGAACATGGATGGACCTTAAGGGCATTATGCTACATGAAATAAGTCAGAAAGAGAAGGACAAATACTGTATGATTTCATTTATATATGGAATCTTAAAAAAAAAAAAAAAAAGGCCGAACTCAAGCATACAAAGAAGATTGTTGGTTGACAGAGGTGGGGGGGTCCCCATGGGTGAAGGTCATCTAAAGGTATAAACTTCTAGTTATAAGATAAATAAGTCCTGGGGATGTAATGTAGAGTATGGTGATTATAGTTCACTGTATTGTACTGTAAATTTGAAAGTTAAAAGAGAGTAGATCTTAAAAATTTTCATCAAAAGGAAAAAATTTGTAACTGTGTGGTGATGGATGTTAACTAAACTTATTGTGGTAATCACTTTGCAATATATTCACAGATCACATCATTATGTTCTACACCTAAAACTAATACAATGTTATGTCAATAATACCGCAATAAAAATAAAATTAAGTAGTTTTATATAAAATAAAATCCAGGGGTGAGTTGAATATGTGATGGGGATTAAAGATGCACTTGTGATGAACACACGGTGAAATATGGAAGTGTTCAATCACTATACTGTACACCTGAAACTAATGTCACATTGTACATTAACTGGAATTAAAATAAAAACTTGAAAAAAAAAGAAAAATGGGGGCAGCAGGAGGAAATTCAGTGTTTCTAAAGTCCAAATGAATATAAAATATCCCCCATACTCCCCTAGATAAAATAAAAATTTAAAAATACCAAAATAAGTTCTACATGTAATCATTTGACACAACTTGTCAATATCAGTAAAGTGCAGGATTATGGGAAAATGAAGGTATTCGATGGAAACAGGGTGCAGATTTGAATAAATGTCTCCAGGTATTCAAAAATATTTGTCTCTGTGGATTTCTTACTTAAAGATGTACTGTACTTCTCCAATTTCCTTTTTGCTACATTCCTTATTTTAAATACAAAATGTTTTCTCCCATATATCCATACATATTTTGTTTTGAAGCCAGTCTGACAATCATAATCATTGCATCTACAGAGGTATCATGGCCCACCAATGATAGAAGTTTTATGGAAATGTAATCTCTTCCTAGGATTCATCAGAAACTGTACACGTCTCTGGCTTGGACCTCCTACAGTCAAAGGCATGGTATCATGTTTCCTTCTCTTACAGAAATTCTTTCAAAACATCCTTATATTCTGAACTATATGGCACAAAGCATCTGTTTAATAAACATTGACTAAACACATGACTGAACAGCCATAATTTTTCCTCTCAGCATCATAGTCTAATCCATGTTAGAGAATCAGAAGAACTTTGACCTTAATCATATGCTCAAGTAATTACTTATATTTAGAGTAAAAACAAACAAACAAAACCGGCTTGTTAAAAGTGAGGATGTTTTTCTTTTAAATGACATATTTGGTACTTCAAAAATTGTATAGCATCTGAGTATGCTGACCAAGACCAAAATAACTCCAAGGCACATGAAAATGTATTAAATATTATTGTACTTAGAGAAACTTTCCAGGACAACTTGCCTGTTCAAATTCCTCCATATCTACTTCTCCATCTCCATTCAAGTCAAACATCTTGAAGGCGATTTCAAAATTTCTCTGAGGAGCTGCAAGTAGAAAGGAAGGAAAGGATAGGAGGGAAGGAGAAGAAGGAGAGGGGGAGAAAGAAAAGTATTTAGAAGGCATTGACTAAAAATAAAAAATCATCTCTTTAAGAAAAACAGATGGTTAGACACAAAGTATTATCAAGTCACAGAATGCCACTCTATTTATCTAGATTAATATGTAGTGATACTCCTTAAAACCAAAAGAGAAACTTGACTATGGCCAGTAAAGACAGCACTTGTCTCTTGAGTTTTAACACTAATCTCCTAAATACTTCTGCTTTGCTTTATTAAAAACCATCCTCTTAACTCTGTATTAATGTTGCTTAGTTATTTAATTATAGCTTTATTTATCTGGGCATGGAAGTCTGCTTGGAGTGAGACATACTGCTGCAAAGAGGCTAAAACTCTAAGCCTTTGTCTTGCCTTTTTAAAACCAGCTAGGTTTGGGGGCACCTGGATGGCGCAGTCAGTTAAGCATCCGCCTCTTGGTTTGGGCTCAGATTGTGATTTCTGGGTTGTGGGACTGGACTGCATCGGATTCCAGGCTCGGCTGGGAGTCTGCTTCTCTCCCTCTCCCTCTGCCCTTTTCCCCACTCTCTTTCGCTCTTTCTCTCACACACACGCTCCCTCTTTCTAAAATACATGAATATATCTTAAAAAAAAAAAAAACCCAGCTAGATTTCTACTTTGGTCTTTCTAGTCTCTCCATTTTTAAGTGCAATCAGGAGTTCAGCAGATGTCATTCAGCCATCAGGTTACTATCTAAAGGCAGAAAAGCATACTGGTAGCTACATAGCCTCCTACTTCAACCATGTCAGCTGGGTATGCAAATCACTGAACAAAGTATATGTAAATGCTAAAATAAAGCTGAGTTTAAAAATAAAGTGAAAAATGCAAAGCCTGAGAAGATGCATGTATATATTTTCTTTCCCTTAACTGAATGGTAAAAACTCTTCAAGATGTCTTAGAGTTCCTAGATCAAGCAGTATACTATAAATATAATTAATATACTTGTATATTAGAATAAAATGTAATGTCCCTTCTTCCTTACCATGCTAAATATTCTGGTAAAGAAAACAAAGTTATTTACTTCCTTCCTTTGGTACTTCAAATTTATATAACTGTGGAGAATAAACCAAAATAAAACATCTTATATATGCTAATACTATTGAATTAAATTTTCAGTTAATACAACTTTTATTAAAAAATTTAAAGATTGTATGTAGACAAAAAAAGTAAAAAAGGCTTAGCACATTATCCACAGTTACAGAGAATCCATAGTCCCATCTTCCTCATGAACTTGTCAGTGGTAATACCTTGTAGGGTCAAATTCTATTTTCAGCCAGCTAGCCAGCAGCTAGGCTGGTGAGCTCCTGGTTTTTAGTGGCCTGCGTGAATCATGTGCCTGTCAGCTTCCAGCTGCCTGCCTTACTTGATAATGGCTTCCAACAGGTTTGTACTTCTTTATGTCACAAGTACAATTGTTGTAAAGGATATAGCTGGGGGTATTAGATTTTTGTATACTTACTGTCACTTCTTTAATATTTCCTACTTGTCTGGGTGCTTTTACTGAAGAGTTACTAAGCCAAGCATTGAGCTCGATAATGTAAAGCTTGATAATTATCTGATTTTGTATGCTCAACCCTGAAAAGCCATACATGACTAGCTCAAAATTGCATAGCTAGTATGTGGCAGATATGGTAAGTGAACCTAGATCAACGATGACTCCAAAGACAATAAACTTTTTCATTATGCTCCATCGCATCCAATAGTAAGACAGTAGTTCTGAACAATAACAAACACATACTCTATTCTGGTATGTTTTAACCTAGAAAGACAAAAAACAAAACATGACTCACTGATTACATCAGTCTCTGCAATAGCTGAATTCCAAGCTGTTTATTTCAAGGACATAGCTGCCATAAGAGAAACATTGCATATGCCACTTTCATACGTTAGAATTGGCTGCACTAACTGGAAACCCACAGGCAACATTAGATTCTCAGGTTTGTCACCTGTTTTTAAGGATTCTGAATATGAATTGCTTTAGGCAGGTATGTATTCTCCTCTTCTTCCCTATTGTCTTACACGTGGACCACTTCATTCAAACACATTACTTGCCTATTCCTTGTAGATACCTGAGATTGTAACAACTGCAGAAAATATGAAGCTGCTGGAAGTTTTCAGTGGGGGAGTAGCACCATCAAACAGGCATTATAAATGATTTCTCTGGCTAAAGCGTGAATTGAAGGATGAGCTGGAAAAGAAGAACCAGCTTCAGAGAAGATCATGCAAGCTCTCGTAAAGGTTGAAAATGTGAACTGAGGTGATAGCAATGGTAATCGGGAGGAAGAAACACATTTGGAATAAGGAGGTGGAATTATGCAACTTAATGATTAATTAGCTGTGAAGAGTTGAGAGTAAAAAAGGCTGACAGCATGACTGCCTTAGGCTACTGGGTAGCTTGCATGTCGTTAACCAAGAGCTAAAACAGATGCAAAAGGTTTGAGAAATAAAAGGAATTCAGAGCCGACCCGCTGAATTAAGGGGTCCACAGCCTGTTTTCAGATGAAAACGCTGAGAGAGTGGGAAACAAGGGTCTATAGGTTCGACAAGAGGGTTGAAAGCTGGCAGTTGCGGGCACAAAGAGCCTGAAGTGGGGGTGCCCACAGAGAAGTGAGGGTTGAGGAGAAGGCGGAGGAAAGGATAGAGTGCAGCTGGATGCCAATATTTAAGGTAAAAGGAAGGAGAAAGGAAGCAGTGACCGAGGACATGGCATCAGGGGGAATATAGACCTAATGAACAGAAATAGGGAAAAACTTGGCAAAAGCCAGTAACTATGTTGAATTAGAGCTCATGAATTAAAGCAGCATTCCCATTCCCTAGCTCTACTGATTACAGAGGGTGCGCAGAGTGCTTAAAATTTTAGCTTTATCATCATCTTTCATTCTTATTGTCCTGTGAGTTTTGTGAAGGCACAGTCATCATTTAAATGACAGAATGAGTTATTTCAGCAAATCATAGTTTATATGGCTTCCTACAACTAAGGTTAAATTCATTTTACCAAACAAAGCACATCCTGTACTTTCTTGAGCTTTCTATATCTCTCGATCCTGGCTTACTTTCGAACACAGGATTTGCTTTATACGGAGCTCTGCAGAGCGTTCATTGAAGTATGTGCACGGACACTACTCCAGAGGCTGAGCTTCTGGAGCGCCGGCCACGAAAAGGCAAGTCAGGGCAGTGGCCTTGCGCACTCTCAGTTAGGCCTTAACCAGTCTATCAGGAAAGATCCTTATAGGAGTAGTTCTTTCATCCTATTCAGTCTTCATCTGCTGATCATGTTCTCTTGTACTTCCCTGTCTCCCTTTAAATGTAGGCTTCAGGATATAAAATATATTCACTTTTTTCTTCAAAGATTTATTTATTTATTTGAGAGAGAGGGAGAGAGCAGGGGGAAGGGCAGAGGGAGAGAATCCTGAAGCAGACTCCCCGCTGAGCATGGAGCCCGATGTGGGGCTCCATCCCAGGAACCCTGAGATCATGACCTGAGCCAAAATCAAGAGTTGGGTGCTCAACCAACTGAGCCACTCAGGTGTCCTCAGTGTAATTTTTAAATCTAGCTGTTCTGGAAAGCTTTAAGGTGTCCAGGGTTTCTGCTAACTCACAACCTATTTCCACAGAAAGGAACTGAGAGAGGAATTCTTTTGAATCCCAGGCTACTTACACAGTGAACAGTGAAGTTTTCCCCAACTGTGTTAACGACATAATCTACCTCCTGTACAATGATTTCCAAAATGATAGCATATGTTGGAACTGATTAAAACAGCAAGATTCTATACAAAGTTCATTACTGTACAACTTTAACTCAAAATTCCATGACCATCTTTGCTACTAGGAAATGGAGTTGCATTAGGTCTGTTCTAGCCTAGAATCTGTATTTATATCATTCAATGATTAACAGTAGTGATAACAATAATGACTCTAGATTGTTCCTGGAAGCACAGTAGATTTTTCTGCTTCCTTTCAGTAATAAGAAAAAAAGCAGCATCTTTGTCTATGTGTAGTAAATCAAATAATCACAGCAACAACACTAACTGTCTCAAGACTTTCATGACTGTTTTCACTGTTTTTTAATAGAAAAGGCACAAGACCAGGGCTCTAATTCTTGCTCTTCCAACAACATGAGTCATTATGCCTTGAAATTTTTTTTGGTAGTACTGACAGAATAAACAAAAACATGAATAGCTTAGATTCTTATTTCCTGTCGGTTTGATTCTCCTACCATAGAATTCCTACCTGCACTATTCTTGTTTTAAAATGATGCTATAGGATAAATGAGGTAATATGCAGTATCAGAGAACTCTGAATTAGGAAAAAAACCTTTAGATTATGAACAACCTCTATTTAATGACAAAGTTGCCTACTGAATTTGTAAGGATAATTACATAGCCTCTGATTATTTCTGAGAGAGAGAGGTCACCCACTTCTGAAGTCTAATAAGCACTGCTGGCTATATTGAGTTTTTCTTCTCATACAGAATACAAATCTAATTTTGTGTAGCTCCTGCAAGCTATCCTAGCTTAACTTTCTACAGAGATAAAAACATAAATCTGCTTCCTCATCTCTATGATGGTCTTTTGAATACATAAAAACATATTATTTACCTCTATTAGGGTTTCTCAGAACTTTCTTCCAAATTCAGCACTCAATAGCCCTCCCCTGGGATACTTCAGATGGCCAATGTCTCCCATGAATGCAGAATATCCTAAATGTAATTTAGGATTAATTCTGGAATTCCTTAATTCTGGAATGACATTATCCTTTCTAGAAACAACAGGATTGCTTCTTTGCTGATTAACGTACTAGCATTCCTTTTCTATGAAGGCTTAGTGTCTTGCTTTCTATCTGTCTTGCTTTTTTTTGGTGGGGGGGGGAACCTATAAGATTGGATTTCAAAACATACCCCTCCCTGAATTCTTCTACGTATGATGGTTATA